TTCACTTGGGAATTTTTTTTTTTTGTTGCTTTTTCTCTCAAAACTCAAAAACTAAATTTTTTTTGTTTTCAAATTTTTGTAACTGAAAATTATTTTTTTTTAGTTTTTTCATTTTTTTGTGAAAATAAAATAATTATTAAATATTGAGCATTTAATTTTGATTAACGATTTTTTTTTTTTTTTTTTTTTTTTTTTTTTAATTTGATATTCTCTGATTTTCTTTTTTTTCATTTTGAATATTTATATTTATAATCGCTACTATAGCGTACGATAATTTTTTTTTTTTTCATTTTCATTCCGTATATAAATGCCGGAAATTTCAATTTTTGCTGTGCCTGTCACGTATTTTCAGATTGACAAGATGCCAATAAATTGTTTCTTGAAAATTAATTCATTATAAATACATAATTCATAAAAAATTCATATAATACATATTTTCATTTCTATATATATACGAGAAATTTACAAAAACAAAAAATTTACAGCCTAAAAATTCTTTTACTCCACGAGACATATAATTTTTTTTGAGTAAAAAGAAAAAGAAACGAGATCCGAAATTAAAAAATTTTTCATTTTTGATTCACATGAGTATTTTTTTTTTTTTTTTTAAAAAAAAAACTCTCAGTCTTTATAAATAGGAAAATAAATTTCCTTCTTTTTAAAAAAAAAATTTTTTTTTAAATTTTTTGATCGATTTTTTTTTTATTTTCCGATAATATCACATTTTTTTTTGTCGAATAATTTCAAGAAGATATTTTTTTTTTTTTTTTAGAAAACTTAATTTATAATTTTTGCCTTTATTTTTTTGAAAAAATTGAATTTTAATTTTTTTTCTTTAACATGTGTTTTAGGTTTGCTGACCAAATAAAAAAAAAAAAAATTAAAACCATTTTATCGGTCCCGTGAATCTGTTTATACGTGAGTATATATAATATATACAATATTTTAGAGAATAATGATCCCAAAATATAATAATTTACTTTTTTTTTCTTGTTCTATTTTTGGAATCAAATTTATTTTTTTTTTATCTCTTCTCATTACTATCCGTTGTATTGCGTTTATTTATTTGCAGTTTTATTTTATTTTGGCGGCAGGCTGCGCTCAAAGTTTTTCATCGTCGTTTTTACAGTCTAACGCTTAAAAAATAATTGTATTTTTTTTCCCTATACTTTTTTTTTAGTGGAAGTACAAGTCTTTATAGAGGGGGTTGGTGGTGGTGGTGGGTGTGAAGAGCAAAACAGGAAGTAGAAAAATTGGTCACTGGACGAACCTGGGACGAGCTGTGATTATTATTTTTTTTTTTTTACTGTATCTTATAAAACTAATATTTACATTGAGGAAATTGTTACGAGAGAGGAATTTTTTTTTGTTACAGACAAAAAATTCATTTCTGCACAAGAAAAAAAAATTATTTTTACAGAAAAAAATATTTATTAATAAGAAAAATAAAAAATTAAAAAAAAAATTTTTTTTGTTAAATTATTTTCCCAAATAAAACCGTTTAATTTTTTTTAAACAATAAAATTAGCTACGAAACAGGTTTAAAACAAGTTTAAAGTGGTTTCGAACATGTACAAAAAATTTTTTAAACTGATGCAAAACAGTTAAAATAGATTTTAAATATGTTCCGGACAAGTACAGAACATGTTTTGAACCGGTTTGGGACATGTTTCGGACACGTTACAAATATGTGGAAAAACATGCTTCGAACCGGTTTGGAATAGGTTTTCATTTGTTTTAAAACTGTTTTGGACATGTGCAGAACATGTTCTGAACCAGTTTGGAATAGGTTTTTATTCATTTTAAAAACCAGTTTCGCACAAGTACATAACTATTAATGGACTGGTTCGGAATACGTTTTGGACATGTTTTCAACAAGTTCAGAATAAATTTAAAGTTCCTTTAAAAACCAGTTTTCAAATATGTTTTGAACCGGTTAATAATAGGTTTAAAATAAGTTTAGAACTGGTTCAAAACATGTTCTTAACCATTTGGAACATGTTACGTACATTTTTTGAACTTGTTTCGAATATGTTTTGTGCTGGTTTATGAAATGTCTAAAAATTGGTTTCGAATTCGTTTAAAACCGGTTTTGAATCCATTTGCAATAAGTTTTTTTTTAATAAATTCAAAACTGATTTCAATCAAGTTTTGAACCAATTCAAAATATGTTTTGCAACTGTTTTGAATTGATTTAGAAAAGGTTTCGAATTCGTTGAAAAACAGTTTCGAATCAGTTTCGAATAGGTTTGGAATAAGGTTTCAAGTTCAATCAGAACTGGTTTCGAACAACTTTTGAACTGGTTCGGAACAAGATTCAAATAGATTCAAAAAAAGTTTGGGACAAGTAGAAAACAAGTTATGACATGGTTCCGCTTAAGTTTCGAGTAGATTCCGAACATATTGCAAAGATGTAGACAACAAGTTTGAAACAAGTTCGGAATAAGTTAAAACCATTTACGAAGTGGTTTCGAACCGATTTGGAATATGTGTCAGACTAGTTTTGAATTGGTTGGGAATAAGTTTTTATTCTGTTTCAAATAAGTTTCGGACAGGTATAAATTAGGTTTCAAACTTGTTTATAATAAGTTTAAAATATATTCCGAATAAGTTTGGAACACGTACAAAACAGGTTTTGATCTAGTTTAGAAGAAGCTTGCAATATATTCCGAATAAGTTTGGAACACGTACAAAACAGGTTTTGAACTAGTTTAGACCAAGTTTGAAATAGATTCAAAATAAGTGTTTGGGACATGTACAGAACAAATTTGAACTACTTTAGAACAAGTTTGAAATAGATTCCGAATAAGTTTGAGACATGTACAAAACAGGTTTGAACTAGTTTAGAACAAGTTTGATAGATATTCAGAATAAGTTTAGAACATGTACAAAGCAGGTTTTGAACTAGTTTAGAACAAGTTTGAAATAGATTCAAAATAAGTGTTTGGGACATGTACAGAACAAATTTGAACTAGTTTAGAATAAGTTTGAAATATATTTAAAAATAAGTTTGGAACATATATGAAATAAGTTTTGAACTGGTTTGGAGCAAGTTTAAAATCAATTTATAATAAGTTTTGGACATGTTCAAAATAAATTTGGACTAGTTTAAAACAAGTTTTGAAAATAGATTCGGAATAAGTTTGGGACATGTACAAAACAGGTTTGAACTGGTTTGGAATAAGTTTTTGAATAGATTCAGAATAAGTTTAGGACTAGTATCAAAGATGTTTTGGACTAAATTTGGAATATGTTCCGAATAAGTTTAGAACACGTTCCAAACCGGTTTTAAACCGGTTTTGGACTAAATTTGAAATATGTTCAGAATAAATTGAGAACATGTTTGAAACAGGTTTTGAACCGATTTTAAAATATGTTTTAAAATGGATTGAAAATATATTTTAATTATCAAAAAAAAAAAAAAAAAAAAAAAAATGTTTCTATGTGCAAAAATAAATTTTCCCAGTTTCGTGCAAGTGCCAAGAATAATAAATTATTATTTTTTTTATGAGAGAGAGTCTGCCTGAGAATACTGTTTGAGTCTTATGTGTTAATATTTCTTTTTTTTTTTTTTTTTTTTTGTTTTTCTTTCATAGAATCAAAGTTTCGTTGATTCAATTTTTTTTTTAACTTTGAATTCCAAGTGCGTCCCAGTTAAAATTTGTGCACAAGTGATGAGCAAAGAGCAAGGCATTCCAGGCAAAAAGGATCCTTTGGTTCTTCTTGAATTATCAAATAAATCAAGTATTTTTTTATATATATATATATAATATATATGTATATGAAGTACTTGCAGTCGTTTATATAATATATATAATATATATATATAATATAATATAATATATTTATGAGAAAAAGCTATCGCGATAAATTATTTCATAAATGTTTTTTGAAACGCTTACAATTATTTATATTTAAAAAAAAAATTTGATTGCACTGAGAAAAAGAGATTTACAAAAGTTAAGTATAAAAATAAATAAGTTAGCCATTCTCTAATAGTCAGCCTTAAGTGATGCTTAAAAGTTATTAAAAGTGAAAGAATGGTTTTTTTTAGTGAAAATCGTTATTTTTTTTTTTTTTTTTGGTAACGGTTTTCAATTTATAAAACCAAACTTTCTACTTTACATGGAAATATATATATATATTATATCAAAGAAAATTGTGCAAACGGCGTTGGCCAGATTTACTGATGTGTGTTCAAAAAAAAAATTATTTCACTGATCAAATTTTTTTTTTTTGATCTTTTGATGGAATATGAAATATTTTTTTTTTTGCAATCGTTGATAGTATCGTTTTCTTAAAAATTCTACTTCGTATAAATAGAGTTTTTAGAGTCTATTATTATTACTATTACTATTATTATTATTATTATTATTATTATTATTTTATGAATAAATTATGTAAAATTCATTTAAAAAAGTTTGCGTTTCAAAAATTAACAACGCCTGTGTGCGCAGCCTTCCGCTCGTCTTATTTATTTTTTGACGAGATATAATATAATATAAATTAGAGTTTTTTTTTTTATTTATATATATATATATATATATATATATATATAAGTTATATTAACTTTTTTTTTATGCGATGTTGTGTACCTTAAATTGTAGAATAATTAATTATATGTTAGTATGTACAGGTACAGGTCTCGTATAGTTGCAGTCGTGTCGTCACTGATTTTTTTTTTTTTGCATCTTTGGGCAAATAATTGAACCCAAAAAAAATGTTTTTTTTTTTTTTTTTTTTGGCGTGTGCCGACTAATTCCGCCAAAAAAAAAATTTTTTCAGGCTCATTTTTTATATTCGTATATAAAGCCTTATTACATATTCACACTGGTATTCATTAAAGCCCTTTTCACACTCCCTAGTAAAGCCTATTTCACATTCCTAATAAAGCTCATCTCACACTACTGTTCCAATAAAGCTTTTTTTTCACACTCCTTTTTTTTTTCTTCTTTTTTATGTCCAAAGAAGAATTAAAATTTTTTTTTTTATGTTGCAGGATTCATCACAAAGAACACGCGGAGTATTTTTCCTTCCGTTGGAGGATTTTAACTGAAGTACAATTCAGTCTTTAGTTTTTTTTTTTTGTTTTTTGGTACACAGTCTTTTTTGACTGGAACACAATCGTTTTTTTATCTTGGAACACAAATGATTTATAGAAAACTGGTGTAGTCTTGTTTTTTTACAGCCAAAAGAGAGAGAAAATCGCATCTTGTGAGTTTCATTCTCACTTGATTTTTAATGGAAGTAGTATTTGCGATTTTTTTGTTTTTTTTTGTATCAAAAAATTGAATTCCATTTATTTTTTTTTTTTTTTAAGTTATTGTGTTCCAGATATTCTAAGTGCATTCGATAATGTGCGGCTGGGATGTTTCAATGACACTTGGACGTCCAACGGAATTTTCCAAATTGTGAAGTGACGTCGAATGTGGTCCATGATTACCATTGCGCCTTTCATAATTTTCAATGTGTTCCAATTCGCATTCCTTCGGCATATTTCCTGTGGACAAAAAAAAAAGGGAAATTTACTTTTTTGGTTTTAAAAAATTCTTTTTACAAACATGTAAGTATAAAATTTATTGCGCGACAATAATGTATTTTGATTCATAGAATTAAAAATATACAAATAAACATAACCTCAAAATTTCGAAATATTATGTCACGAAACAAACATAACCTAAAAAATTTTGATAAAATGTCCCGAAGATTTGCTAAATAGCAAACGTAAGCTAAATATTTTGATAAAAAGTCAAAAATAACCTCAAAATTTCGAATATACGTCAAGAAGCGAACATAACCTTAAAATTTTGATAAAATATCAAACATTTGCTAAATAGTAAACGTAAGCTAAATATTTTGATAAAAAGTCAAAAATAACCTCAAAATTCTAAATACAAGTACAAAAGGAAACATAACCTTAAAATTTTGATGAAATATATAACATTTGCTAAATACTAAACATAATTTAAATACCAAACATAAGCTAAATATTTTGATGAAAAGTAAAAAATAACCTCAAAGTTTAAAACATATAGCACGAAACGAACATAACCTTAAAATTTTGATCAAATGACAAACAAATACACGTAAGGTAAATATTTTTTTTTAATGAAAATCAAAAGTAGCCTCAAAATTTTAAACACAAGTCAAAAATAGAACATATAACCTTAAAATTTTGATAAAAATGTCAAACATTTCCTAAATAGTAGACGTAAGCTGAATATATTGATAAATAGTCGAAAATAACCTTAAAATTTCAAATACAAGTCAAAAAGGGAACATAACCTTAAAATTTTTTATTAAACATCAAACATTTGTTAAAAAGTAAACATAAACTAAATATATTTTGATTGAAAAGTCAATAATAACCTCAAAATTTAGAAAATTATGTCACGAGGCGAACATAACCTTAAAATTTTGATCAAACATTTGCTAAATAGCAAATACAAGTTAAAAATTTTGATTAAAAGTCAAAAATAATCTCAAAATTAAGAATATATTTTACAAAGCTAACATAACCTTAAAATTTTGATAAAGCAAACAAAAGCTAAAAAATTTGGATTAAAAATCCAAAAACTTAACATAACCTCAAAATTTAAAGAAAATAATAATAATTAATAATTATTATTATTAATACTAATAAATAATAATAGTTAATAATACAAAATAATAATAATAATAATAATAAAATTTTCAAAAATTAACTCACCAACATTCATGTCGGGCCCATATTCATAATAAGTGGGTGAACCAACAGCAGCGGCAAGTGCAAGTTCATCTTCAATATTATTTGGTCGACAACTTGTTGTTTTCCAATGTGTTCGAAGTCCACTTGCGCTAATGTATTTTTTGTCACAACCCTGACATGTGTAGGGCCTTTCGTTCGTGTGAAGCCTTTTGTGAAGTTTCAAATGAACAAATTGAGTGAATTTTGCCGAACACAAATCACAAGCGTACGGCTTTTGTCCCGAGTGTAATCTCAAGTGTGTCTTTAAATTTGAAGTTGAGCTAAACCTCTTCTTGCAAATTTCACACTGATGTGGTTTCTCGCCTGTAACAGCAAAAAAAAATCATTTTTTTAGATTAACATTATTTTTTTTAATCATTTAAAAAACCTATTTTGAACATGTTTTGAATCAGTTCAGAATGTTTATGACCTGTTTTAAAATGGTTATAAAAATAAGTTAATTCAAAACATGTCCGAAAGTGGTTCTAATAGAATTTAAAACTTATTTTTATAACCAGTTCAAAACCAATTCGAGAGTTTCGAATTCTTTCATAATCGGTTTATAATCGGTTCGTAATAAGTTTCTAATAGATTGAGAACCGGTTTCGGACCTGTTTTGAACTGGTTTAAATTAGTTTTTAAACTGGTTTTGTACTGGTACAGAATAAGTATCAAATTTGTTTAAAACCAGTTTAGAAATGGTTTGTACTAGGTTTTGAACAATTCAGAACTTGTTTCGAACATGTTTTGAACCGGTTTAGAATATATTTCGCACCGGTTTTGGACCTGTTTTGAACTGGTTCAAAATATGTTTCGGACATGTTTTGAATTAGTTCAGAATGAGTTTCAAAGTTTAGAACCGGTTTAGGATCGGTTACAAATAATTCAAAATCGGTTTCGATATTTTTAACCGGTCCCGACTAGGTTTCGGACCGGTTTTGAATTAGTTCAGAATAAGTTTCGAATTAGTTAAGAACCGGTTTAGAATAATTTTTTAAGAGGTTTTAAATAATTCAAAACCGGTTTCGAACATGTTTTAACTCGGTCCAGAATTGGTTTTTGACCGGTTATGAATCGGTTCAGAATAAGTTTCGAATTCGTTCAGAATCGGTTTACAATGATAATTCGTAATGTGTTTCTAATAGATTCAAAACCGGTTTTGGATCCGTTTTGAACTGGTTAAAAATATGTTTGGGACCGGTTTTGAATTAGTTCAGAATGAGTTTCAAAGTTTAGAACCGGTAACAAATAATTCAAAATCAGTTTCGGACATGTTTTGAACCGGTCCCGACTAGGTTTCAGACCGGTTTTGAATTAGTTCAGAATAAGTTTCGAGTTAGTTAAGAACCGGTTTTTTGAAATAATAGATTTCAAATAGATTTAAAATCCATTTCGGTCCGGGTACAAATTAGGTTATTGAACCGGTTTAAAATATGTTTCAAATTAATTCAGAACTGGTTTTGAAACGAGTGTTGATTCACTTTGAATTATGTTTTTTGCAAAAAATTGTTACAAAAATTAAAAAAATGAATTCGGAAAATGATTTTGGTTAAAAAAACAAATCAATATTTACCTGTGTGTACCAAATGATGTTTCTGCAAATGTGCCAATTGCGTGAAACTCTTGGTGCAAACATTACATTTAAATGGACGTTCACCAGAATGTGTTCTTAAATGTACTTTTAAATTTGACAATTGTCCAAATGTTTTACAACAAACATTACATTCATAATGCATTTTACCATCTTTTTTCTTTAATGGATAGGGCAATGAACGATAACCCCTTGATCCTTGTGAATTTGGACTCAATGATCCACTTTGTGAACATGCATGATCATCAGGCGATAGACTACTTGCTGGTGAATAACGATTGAGCGATTGATTTCCATGTATTGTTAAACCAGGATGATGTCCTAAATGTAAATTATGTGTACCGGCAATTAATTGATTACTATCAATTTGCATTGTTGACGATGTTGGTAATTGATGATTATTATTTGGTACATCATGACGTCGTTCACCATTTCTTTCATAAACAATACTTGTTGTTGGTGTTGGTGAATAGGGACTGCAATTTATTGATAATGGCGTCACATTATGATGTAGTGATCCATTTTGATGATATAGTCCATAGGAATAGGATGATGGTGATTGTATTGGTGATATTGGCGAGGGATTATTGGAATTTAAATAGACAGTGGATTCTATTTGTTGTGAATTTGAATAATGAATAGTTGATGTTGTTGATGGTGTTGGACTTTTGGTTTTTCTTTTGGGAATATTGTTATTTAGATTGGCGGACGTTATAATGGAATTTGAATGATTTGTGCTTGAATGTAATATTCCTGGACTACTTGCTGTTGAATGTAAAACAGTCGCTGAATTAGTTGAAGTTTCACGAATATTTTGATGATGACCACTACTTGAATGTAAATTATTTGAATGTAAATTATTCGAATGTACATTATTCGAATGTAAATTTCCAGTACTTGAATGTAAATTACCAGTTGAATGTATAGCCGTTGGACTTGGTAAAATACCACTGCTAGGCGAACAATTATTTTCTTGCATTGGAAGATTTGAACTTGAATCCGGACTACATGGTAGAATATTGCCATAACGATGTGATTTTTTATATGAATAGGCCATTTCAGTTGGACTCGATGGTGGTGGTGTCACTGAATCAACTAAATGATGATTCTGATTATGATGATTTTGATGATGTGTTCCATTATTATTATTATCAGTGGTATTATTCCTTAGGAGAATATTTTCAAGTATTGAACTCGATGTTGTGAGATATGCACGATTTGGATTTATTTTCGGTTCGGATTCATAAAATGGTTTTATATTCTTCTCTTCAGTGATTTCATCCTCTGATAGTGAACGTGATTTTTGGTTTATTATCGGTGAGAGGGGTTTTTGTAATTCAGGCGATGCTGCCCTACTTGATAGTTCATCTTTTTCTTTAACTTGATCTAAATTTTTTGTCGATTGAAAATTATTATAAGTTTTACTGATTTTGATTTTTACTTTACGATATTCATTTTTGACATTTGGAGAATCTTGTTTGAGAATTTCTGTACCGGTGGCTTTGGCATTTTTTGAAAAATCAAGAACATAATTCTCCGAATCGGATTCACTGCTTTCCTCGGGTGGTGTTAGAATTTCATCATGATAGCCATTTGAATGATAACCTTCGTCTGACCTCACTGAACCATCGGTGGGTGTCATTTGTGAACGCCTTTCGTATATTGTTGAATCCTTGAGGGGCGAGACAATTTCCACCGTTGGGGGAATTTCCGTTGATTGTTGAACTTGTTGCCCTGTGAATAAGCAAAAATTTGATTTAATAATTTTTCCTTTTTTTTTCAAAAATAGAAAATTTTAAAAATTAGAAACTTACTTATTCGTTGAAGCATCTGTTCACCGGTATCGGGATAATTTAACCTCTCGGCAAATTCACGACAATACCATACCAGTAATTCCTGATTTGGTAAAATTGGTTTGATTGTGTAAAAATAGATATTCATTTGATACTGGCATGCAATTAAATTTTGCGATTCCGATGAATACGCTGGATTCACGTATCTCATCCAATTTGATTTTTGTACATCAAAACCATCGATGTAGTAGAACAATTCGTTGTTCTTGTATATCTGTGAACAAAAAAAAAAAAAAAAATGAAAAATTTACCTAATGGAATTTATTTTTCATATTCTCCACTATATGAGTTATAGAGACGCGTCTAAGTCTCTTGGTTTTCGTTTTACCGTTCGAAAACCAGTTTTGTCTGTAAGGTATTTTTTTTATTTTTATTTTTTGTAAATCGCTTGAAGATATATATGACTGATTTATAGCCTCTAAGAGGATGTTTCATTTTCAGTAAAAAAAAGCTGATGTAATTGCAAAATCTTCTCGCTGATAGTATCGAGAAGAATTATTATTATTGCTGGTTTAATATTTGTTTTGTAACTTACCCTCCAGAAATATTTTCGATTCGCGTCCGCTGGCACTGAATCCTTGGTGTATTTTTGACCGATGAGTGGTCCAAAGCGCGTACCCTTGGGAATGTAACTCGTGCTCCAGACTCCCAGGGCCTGGGGGAAAAAAAAGCATTAGAATTTGGAATTGGTGATGAGGATTTGATTGTTAAGATTGTGGATATTCGGAGGATTATACTGATGACCTAGGGGTACTACAGGAACCATGAGAATTTGGATTTGGTGATAAGGATTTGATTGTTTAGAGCTTGTGGATATTCGGAGTATTATACAGATGACCCAGGGGTATTAGAGGGTTTTTGGAATTTGTTAAGGTTTTGGGGATTTTAGTGGAGGAACATTCTGCTGATGTTCAAACTCAAGGGAGTTGTTAGCTACTAGCTTACTGATCTCCTAAAGGAGTTTATGGCTACTAGGTTACTGATCTCCGAAAGACGATCCTAGCTACTAGCTTAAGGATGGCCTAAGGGGTACATATCTACCAGGTTACTGATCTCCGAAAGACGTTTGTAGCTACTAGCTTACTGATATTCCAAGAGAGTTCCTAGATACTAGCTTACTGATCTCCTAAGGGCGTTCCTGGCTGCTAGCTTAAGGATGACCTAAGGGGTTTATAACTACTTGGTTACTGATCTCCGAAAGACGATCCTAGCTACTAGCTTAAGGATGTACTAAGGGGTTCGTACCTACTAGCTTAATACTGGCCTAAGGGGTTTGTAGCTTCTGGCTTACTGATGTTCCAGGACAGTTCATAAATACCAAATTACTGATCTTCTAAAGGTGTTCATAGCTACTAGGTTACTGATCTCCAAAAGTCGTTCCTAGCTATTAGCTTAATGAACGCCTAAGGGGTTCATAGCTACTAGTTTACTGATCTCCTAAAGACATTTACAGCCACTAGCCTAACTTTGAAAAAGCTTTCTAATGCTCCTGGGTCATCTGTTGTTAATTTTATAAGTCGAAAAACAGTAATGGAGCAAAAAAATAAGTTTCCAAAATACTTACATCGTTAAGAGCTTGAGATGATTTGAGCACCAAATTTCTCGGCAATGATGCTTCAGCTCTATTTGCATCAGTTGGTGATCCAGAAACATCCGGTACAAGATAAACTGCATGTTGCTCAAATTCCTCCTCCCGAAGGGTCGCATGATCCCATTCGCTAGCCTCCATTCTTCACTGAAATCAGAAAATTGAAAATCAAAAATTAATGCCTTGTTTCAATGCTTTTTTAAGCAATAAATCCAAAAATAGTAAAATTCAATATTAATTTTTGTTTTTTGTGCAGCACATCAAAAAACTAGTAATACCCAAAATTAATTTTTGTTTTTTGTGCGACACATCAAAAAATAGTAAAATACAAAATTAATTTTTGTTGATATCTTTGTGCAACAAATCAGAAAATGAATCTTTGTATCGTAATTTGATGCTTTTTTATTAATTTTTTTAAGCATTCGTAATTTTTCAAGTATTTAGGTAGTAGTTTCTCAAAAGTAGTTTACGAAAAATAGAAATGTGGGCAAAATAGAAAAATCAAAACAAAACGTTATAATTCCAAATAAATATTGATAACCTTAGGAAAAAATTCAAAAAAAAAAATTCTACAAAACATTTCTATTACGTCGATTGAAAAAATAAATTTTTCCCGTCACACAGCACAAAGTTGTTTTCCTCATAATAACGATATTCCAATTCATTCGCATTCTCATTTCGAAAAATTTGCCATTTAAAAAAGAAATACAATCTAGAATCAAAAATTTCCTTTTTCTATTTTCAAAAATTCATTTTAAGAAAAAAAAAAATGGTTGCAAAAATATTTTTGCTAAAAATTTTGTAACACTTCCTTTTTTTGTGACACTTTTTTTTCTTACTGACCTTATTTTGAAATAAAAAAAAAAAAAAAAAAAAAATTCCACCAAAAAGTATAGAAAATGCATTTTTGTAGAAAATTAAAAATTATATATTGCGCGAAACTCGGGGAATTTTTTGTATACGACTATCGGTCGATCGAGAGGGAAGCTACCCTACTCTCGCTGGTGAAATTCAACTCGCTGGTGCAGCGGTGCACGCTTTAACACCGCGAAAGTGAAACCCGTCCATGCATTGATCGACTGCAGGGGGCGCGAGGGGGGGGCGGTGGTGGTGGGTGGATGAGGGGGTACAAACTCTGGAGTTTCACCCCCATCGACCGTCACTCAATTTTTTCTTCTCTTCATTCTCAAAAAAAACAAAAAAACAAAAAATTTTACCTTCTTCATTTTTTGTCTATCAAGCAAAAATTAATTTTTGCTTTTTTTTGTCTAAAAAAAAATATCAATTTTTGGCAAAATAAATTGCATAATTTTAAATTTTACTAAAATTTCTAAAAATGGGCGTTTTCCCACCCCCAAAAAAAAACGTACCAGGAAAATTTTTTTCCCCGTGATCCTATTTTTTGTGGTTTTTGTTGTAATCACCAAAAATTTTCTATGTGATCCTGTAATTTTTCAACGACACTGAATTTAACTTCATTTTATCATCACACCACTTTGAATAAAAAATCCGAAATATTTTTTTTTTTCCAATTATTGTTAAATTGATGATGGCGTTACTGATTTTAACCAACATTTATTCGGGCGGGACGCGGGATCGATCCGAACGACTTTCGAGTTGGTTATCGATTATCAGGACATCAGAGGGCTTAAAAAATACAAAATCCCTTTTTTTTGGAAAAATCACTTTTGTTACGTAACAAGAATTTGAGTTTTTTGGGGGAAAAAAATAATTTTTTTTTTTTTTTACAGTAGCGGAAAAAAAAGAAAAGCAAAAAAAAGATGGAAACGAAAGGGAAACTCAATTGTGATGAATTTTTGTTTTCTGATTGTAGAATTTGAAAAATTGTTGACGAAGGATTGATGTGAGGGTTAAAATTTTATCCTGAGGGGGATGATATTTTTATTAAGTGAGATAAGGGTGGTTTTTTTTTTTGGAAAAACTTTTTTTGATGGCAGCAAAGGGAGGGTGTGAAAATTTTCGTAAACAATGCACAGCGCACGAGGGTGTATGTCGCGGCTCGCGAATGGCACAGTGAAACTCGGGTAGACCTGACCTAGCCCAACGCGAGGCGGCTTGGCCGACGAGAGTCTCTCTTTCTCTCACTCTCTGGCTCTGTCTCTTTCTCTCTACTCTCGTTTTGTTGTATTGGTAGAGGCGCCTGCTTGTATAAAGTACACATATACAGAGAGACAGAGCCAGACTGAAGGTGGTGCATTTCTCGTGCGCTGCGCTTTCGATCGACCCGTTGCCAGAGGCTCCCTCTCTCTTTCTCCCTCATTTCCTCTTTCGTTTTCCTCTGTCTCCCACCTTGTCTCTATCTTTTTCTCTTTTTTTTTTAACTCTTTCCACTATTTTCTTTCTTTTTTTTTTATTTGCTACCTTCGCTTCTTCTTTAAAAAAACTTCAAGCCGACCTAATACTCAAGGGACACAACCCAGGGCGCGCGTTTGTTGGCCATTTTATTGTCCAATGTGCCTTTAAACTTCAGGTTTCTTCTGCGGAGAACAAATTTTAATTTATTTTCTTGATGTGTTTCTTAATCCTGAGTCGCGTGTCTTTGCTGATTTGTTACTGTTATGCGTTAAGATTTTAGAGAAAAAAAATAATTTTCTGAGAAAAAAAGGAAGGCTGCATTTTTTTTTGGATGAAAATATTTACAGAGAAAAAAGAGAGTCACTTTAGATTAGAAAAGGAATTGTAATATAATTGATCACGTATTTTTTCAAAATATTACAAAGGAGAAATAAAAAAATCGGTTTGAGAACATCAGAAAGCTGCCAGATAGAAACTTACTACAGGCATCTGCAAGCCATTATGAATGAACTCTTTAAGGATTACTGATCCTATTTTTACTCTAATCTTACTGATCATTAAGCTAGTAGGTATGGAGACCTTTAGGTAATCAGTAATCTGGTATGAACGTTTTCAGGAAATTAGTAAGCTAGTAGGGATAAATCCCTTAGGAGATCATTAAGTTAGTAGCTGTAAACAACTTTGGGAAATCAGTAACCCAGTAGCTAGGAACCCCCTAGGACTTCATTAAGCCAGTAGCAGTAAACACCTTTTGGAGATCATTAACCTAGTAGCTATAAACCCCTTCGGTAAATATTAAACTAGTAGGTACGAAACCCTTAGTACATCTTTATGCTAGTAGCTAGGATCGTCTTTCGGAGATCAGTAACCTAGTAGATATAATCCCCTTAGGTCATCATTAAGCTAGTAGCTAAGGAACGCCCTCAGAAGATCAGTAAGGTAGTATCTAGGAATTCTCTTCGAACATTAATAAGCTAGTAGCTACAAAATCCTTTGGCCAGTATTAAGCTAGTAGATTTGAATCCACTTAGGAAATCATTAAGCTAGTAGCTTTAAACGTCTTTAGGAGATCAGTAAGCTAGTAGCTACGAACCCCTTAGAACAGCATTAAACTAGTAGGTGCGAACCCTTAAGGACATCATTTAGCTAGTAGCTACAAACGCCTTTCAGAGATCAGTAACCTAGTAGCTATAAACCTCTTAAGCCAACATTAAGCTAGTTGTTACGAACCCCTTAGTACATCTTTAAACTAGTCGCTAGGATCATCTTTCGGAGCTCAGTAACCAAGTAGCTATAAACCCCTCAGGCCATTCTTAAGCTAGAAACGTCTTTCGGAGATCAGTAACATAGCTAGGAATGCCCTTAGGAGATCAGTAAGCTTGTAGTTATAAACTTCTTAAGGAAATCAGTAGGAAAGGAAGTAAATATGCTAGGAGTCCCTAAGGATATTATAGAAATAGTATCTTTAGCCGTTAGGAGATCAGTAACCTAGTAATTACGAATCCATTCGGAGATCAGTAAGGTAGCAACTATGAACCCCTTAAGACACTAGTACAACCGCCTTTAGGAGATCAGTGAACTTCTAGCTATGAACGTCCAAAGAATCTCCAAAAGCAGTCAGCTAGGAATCTCCTACACATCTATTGTCAATTGACAGTTTTTGGTGATTTGTAAATAGGATTTCAAAATATTTACATATTTTCCTGGTAAATTTCCTGGGTCTCCTTATAGGGGTCGTTTTTAGAAGCTCCTAAATTACCCGATTCTATGCGGATTAAATCTCTGTAAAATCCGGAGCTGTTAGGAATATTAGATAATCCTAGTTAGAAGTATTAGTTTCCTATACCCTTATAGTTCAAATTCTTCAACTTTGTAGAAATAAAACAGGTTTAAAAAAAAGAATCTCTCTACTATTCTGAGACATAATAATTCAGCATTGTTCTAATTTGCAAAAAAGGATCATCTAGATCAGTCTAATCTACAAATAGTAGATTTTCTTCTTTTAAATTGAAAATATTTGTTTCTGCAGTGATTTTTTCTTTTGCTCTTTAAATCCTTTGCAATTTTTTTACTTCTCTTTTATTTTCCGGGTGTCTGTCTTTCTCCCTTTCTCTCTCTTTCTCTCTCTCTCTCGCTCTTTCTCTCTGTCTTTGGCATCCTCTCTTTCTAAAGGTTTCTCTTTCTGGATTGCGAACTTCCATTCGTAATGCACATATCACCCCCTTCTCATCCCTTCCACACACTTCTTGCTTTGCCTCCTCGCGTCGACGACTTTTAGGGATGGTTTGGCGTGCAAAACCATCTCCATCGGTAATGTTGCAAGTTCGCATGCGCCAATCGTTTTCAAAATGCAACTGCAACCACCCGAAATACAGCCTTAGTATTTCTCTGCTTAAAAGTATATATAAGAATGCAGCTTTTTATTTATTTTTTTTGCGTAACCGCCACTGAATCTCTTTTCTGCTTTTTTTGTACTTATTTCCTTTACTCTCTTTCTTTTCATTTTCAGAAATTCACTTCCCCTTAGCTATAGATATATATAAAGGAATTCGCAAATTGTCGAATTGATTTCTCTGCTTTAAAATTACATCGGGTCAATAATTTTCTTTCTTTTAGTTTCTTTTTTAGTTAAAGGCAAATTTTTTAAAAAAAATTTTACGGCTTTTTGTAGTTAAGAGGATTTTGTTTATTCATTTTCGTTTTTTTTCTTAATTTTTTTTAAAAGTATTTTTTTTATAATCTTTTATTATTTCTCTTTGGTATTTTTTTTAATTAAGAGAATTTATTTTTATTAACCTTCATTTTTGTTTTATCTAAGGAATTATTTATAACCTTCTGTTAGTTCTCTTTATTTCTTTTTTATTTAAAAAAAATTTTTAAATAGAAAAAAGTCCCTTAAGATTACAAAAAGGAATTGTAATATAATTGATCACGTATTGTTTCAAAACAGTAAAAAAAGAATTTACTGTTTTATACAAAAATAAAGTAAAAAAAAATAATAAAGGTATAAAGAGATAAACAAAAAAAAAGGAATGGGAGAGAAAAATTTAATAAAGAAGAAAGTCACAAAAGGAATTGTAATATAATTGATCACGTATTCATCCAAAATATTAAAAACTGATTATTTTTATTGCTTTAAATAAAAAATAAAGTATAAAAATAAAATATAATAAAGTTATTATAAAGAGAAGTGAGTCGTAGACAAAAATATTTAAAAAACAAGAAAGTTACTTAAGATTAGAAAAGAAATTGTAATTTAATTGATCACGTATATATAAATTAGAAAGAATTAGATAAAGAATTTAAAAAAAAAGTAAAATCAGAGTCCGTTAGGAATAATAAGAATTAGAATATAATCGACCATATACGTAATTTGCGAATATAATTTTTTAAATTTAAATCCAATGGTAAAATTATACAAGAATTTTAATATATAATCAAGAAAATATTTTGATATATCTAATAAATTACGTATTGGGAATCTAAATTTAAAATTCAAAAAAATAAAAACTAAAAAATATTCACAAAAAAAATGAATTATGAAAATTAAAACTGAAAATATTTTTATCCCTTTTTTAAAAGCTGGTTTATTACTATATATATCGAGTTACGAATAGCCGTAGGAAATTGAACGAGGCGTGTTGACTTGGGTTAATTTCGCCCACGTAACAGTCTCTTAGATAGAGATTCAGGTGAAGGGGGGTGGTAGGGGGGGATTAGGATCGGCGTCGCAGGAGCGGATCCCTCTTCCAATTGGTCATTGGACGGGACACTATATACCATAAGAGTTCAATGAACTCGGTCCTTCATGTGTATTACCAAAATTGGTTACAGATGTTTGCTTATATACTTAAAAATTTTTACGCCATTGTCTGAGTATGACATTGAGTGCTATATTATATATTTATACATATATTATAACACTCACTTATATATACAGTAAAGTGCTGGTTTGGTTTACAATATGAAACTGTCAAATGTGAATGTCCTATCGTTAAAAAAAAAGAAGTGAAGGGGGACAGTGATCTTCGACCGTGACTTTGACTTTACAGACCCTGACAACTTGTACATTCTATAATATAGATATATATGCACGTCAGGATTAGTTTTTGCAACTATTCACTAATTGCTTTACAACATAACCTCAAATTTTAACATAACATCTTATTTTCTTCATATTTTCAAAATTATTTATTTATTCTTTTTATTATGAAAAAAAATTAACATTTTTAGTTTATTTCACAAAACATAACCTCAAATTTCCTATAAATATACAATTTACTGTTATTTTCTTTAAATATTTATTTTTTTCAATTTAAGATATTTTGTTTAATAATTTTTGTTATTTTTCTTTCTAGGTAGCAGAAAAGGAATTGTAATATAATTGATCACGTATTCTTCCAAAATATTAAGAACAGATTTTTTTCTGTTTTTAATAAAAATAAAATATAATAGGATAAATATAAAGAGAAGTGAATTGTGGACAGAAATATTAAAAAATGAAGAAAGTCACTTAAGATTAGAAAAGAAATTGTAATATAATTGATCACATAACATAACCTCAAAATTGTAAACTTTTTTTTTCTTCCTGTAAATTGTAAACAAACCTTTTTTCTGTTTCTATTCAAAATAGTAAAATTTATAGAAAAAATATTGTAAGATAGAAAAAAAATATTGTAATTTAGTAAAATATAGAAATTTAAGGTTATGTTTCAATTTTAAAATAAAAATCAGTTATAAATGATCGTTTTAGGTTATATACCGAAATTTTGTTTATAAGAAAAATATTTATATTGTTTAGCAATGGGATTATATGAGTACATTGACTTCCTATACCCCTTCCCATTAGAGGGGGGTATATAATAAGTATAAAATGGAGTCATTCAATATGGCGAACGTTCCGAATTTCACTTTTCGAAGAAGATTCAATTCACCTTGGTGGATTCCCTCTGTTGAGTCTTCTGGGTTTGTTAGAGAAGAATTTCCGCGTGAATCGGCGACGTCTACTAACCCAGATACGTTCTCGGGTCGTCGATCTTTTCCCTCCTTGGAAAGAACTACTGTACCAGATATATTAATTTGCCAAGAAAGTATATATATATATATGTACAAAAAAAAGAAGAGGAGATGAAAAAAAATATTCATTTTCCATAAACATATTTTTTTTGAAACAATTTTCTTTTTTTTTCACTTTCATATAAATTGAAATTTTACGTTTCTTTTTTGAAAAATTTGAGGTTATGTTGATTATATTTTATGTCTCATACATATAACAGTTAAGTAGGTATTAAAACCGAGG